AGGTCCCCAGCACCCCATGTTTCCGTGGGGCAGCTAAGAGCACCCTGCTCCCCATTTCCAGGGAGGAGCCTGCCAAGGGCCATGACGCAGTCAGGGAGTCAGCCAGATGGGTGCCAGTCCCACTCGGCCCTTGTCTCCCTCTGTGCCCCCCTCTCTCCACCTCTGCCCCCCACCCCGTCCTGCCACACAGGGCATGGGGCCAGGTGGCCCCCGGTATCCTTCCGGTTCTCAACATTCTAACTTGGAGCAGTCCTCCGTGTGGAAAGGGCAGCTAATTTCTCTTGGAAGTGCCTTCTGTGCTAGGTACCACCAAGAGTCAACTCGGCCAGTGCTCTGCTAGGTGGCAAGGAGTGTGGAACAGGAGCTTGACCCTTCCAGACTCCCCCTGGGTCAGAAGACCACAGGGACCCAGGTGTCACTAGCAGAGAACACATACATGCGGCGTGAAGCCATGCTGAGCCTAGGGGGTGAGGTGAGGAGGAGTGTGTGCAATCTTAGGCTCCCCTGGACCAGGGGCTCTCCCTCCCAGAATTTCCGGGGCAGCCTTGGGACTGGCTTTGCAGTTTCAAGTCAAGCATTCTACACTTGTTTGAGATAGAGTGTTCCAAAGAGCTGGAGCTCCTGACACAGGAATCCTAAGATGTTGGAGTTTGAAGGGCTGCCCAAGGCGGCCTTGTTTTCCAGGCAGGGAAACTGAGGCCTGGAGAAAGGTATCAGAGCAGAGACCCCCCCAGACTCCCCAGGCTGACTACAGGCACATGGCTGCCCCAACCAGGGGGTGCGGGGGCTTGACTGCTTGAGCCCACTCGCCATTCAGAGACAGGCAGGCGGCCGGGAAGGGTTGAGGCCTTGCATGCACCCAGAGCCATGCCGTCAGCTGTCTCCAGCTGGGAGGGAGCCCGGCCATCCGTGGTCACTGGACCTGCCACCAGGGACGATTTGTAGCTACTTGTAAAAGCTTGAAGAAGCCCAAGGTCTGCAGAGGGAGGCAGCCCTCAAGCCAATCCGTGCTCCCGCGGCCGAGGGCGACCTCTGCTGGCTGCCGAGCATGCGCCACCTCCCCGCGCGGCCCGCTTGCCTGGAGCCCTCTGGCACTGGCAGGGCCTTGGAAGTGGATGAGTTTGGACAGGTTGGATGGAACAAGGGGACATTTCTTTGGGCCCAGACACAGCCCTTGAGTGAGGACTTCCAGGAGGCTGAACGCCAGTCTTGGAGGAATGAAAAGAAAAACACAGGAATGGTTAGAAAGGCAGTGGGTTTGAATCTCAGCCCAACCCCTTCCTGGCCGTGTGACCCTGAACAAATTGCTTCCCCTCTCTGAGCCTTTTAGGATTCAGGAAATTGGCAATGCACGGGATCAGGCCTGCTGCGTAAACATGGCAGGGACAGGACAAATGCAAGATTCCAGACTGCCCCACCATGAGCTACCTCTCCTAACTCCTTCAGCCCACCCTTCCCCTCTCCGCGCCCAGCACCCTTAGCCTTCCAGGCCTTCACTCTTTTTCTGTGTGGGCTGGAGCCGCCAGCCCCATCCATTCCTGGTATTAATAACCAAAAATTTCCACTGATCTCGGGAGTTTAAAAATGTCATCTCACCTGTGAGTGTCTCCTTAATCAGCTGGACATTTTGTTCTTCTATAGATTAAGACACATAGGACACACAGTTGTCCCTGTGATCTGTGAAATCTTTCCCACTAGATTCCTTGCCAGTGTTCTGGGCCCAGACTAGGGGGCACTGAGCAGAAAGAACAGCCTCTGGGTGCCAAGGTGCCTGCCTATGTGGGCCTGGGCTCCTGATGCCTGCTTAGGGCTTCCCTGGGTGGGCTGAGTACCCCCTCAGGTTCCAGAAACGATCTGTCAGCCATTCAGCAAACATTTATCAAGGCCCCACTAGGGCTCTGACCCTAGATAAAAATGCTGTGTCCATCCTGGGAAGTCTACCTAGAGATAAGAGTCTTGTGAGGCCGCCTAATCCCCACTCACCATCCTGCTCTACAAAATGGGGAATCCAAGACCTAGAAAGCCAGAGAAGTCTGCTTAAAAACCCCTCTGTTTGGGGCACTTAGGTACTCACTGCGGAGAAGGAGGGCCCTAAAGAGAGAGCCCCACAGTGCTGGTTTCCAGCCCTCTGGGTACTTAGCTTCATCAACAGCGCCCCCTGCTGGCCGGCTGGGCACCATGGTTTGTCCCTGGCCCCAGGAGCCCTCTAGGAGTGAGCGCTGGCTGGGACTCTGTACAAGTAAACCCAGGAGGAGAAACTCAGCCCCTGCCTGGGGTACCTAGAAGGGTAGCAAGGGGAGTGACACTTCTCCCATGACACATGCCTGCCACACCACAGCAATCTCCAGTGGGGACCCCTGGCCCCTCCCCACTAGCTGCACCGAAGTTTAGGTTGTGATGGGAAAGCCAGGATTCTAGAGCTGGCTGCTACTAAAACCTCTGAGCCTCAGTTTCCTCATTTGTAAAGTGGGAATGTAGTAACGATGTCTGTCTATGCCCAGTGCCTGGACCAGCACCTGACTTACAGGAGAAGCTCAACAAATAGTCACTACTGGGTCACATAGAGTGAATACTGGCTTGGACCATGGACCATATCTCCATGGCTCACAGATACGGCATAGGACCCTGCACCATATAGATATTGTAAAGTATTTACTGGGTGAATTGGAAGCATGCATGGGTGGGTACGTGGAGATTAGAGGTGTTTGGATGGATGCATGGATAGGTAGATGGATAGACAGATGGACAGGCAGGCATTTAGATGAATAAATGATGGATGGAGAAGTTGGCTACTTGGGTGTATAAACATGTGATCAGTGGGGTCAATGGAGGGATGTTGGAGGGTAGAAAAAAATAAATGTGGGGCACTACCCCTACTTTTACCTTTTTGTGGGAGAACTCCAAGGTAAAGTGAACCCAGAAAGCATTTATCAAAAGTACAAAGGCCCAAATGACCCAGAAACTCCACTTCTAAGAATATGCTCTCTAGATTAATTCACACGTTGATGATGTGGCCAATATAAAAAGGTGCTCTTGCAACCCTGTTTGCAGTATGAATTTGGAGATGGCTTCAGGCTTCATCACTCGGTCTGGAGCGTGAGCCCTCTGAGCAGAAGGGCCTCAGGTCTTAGAGCAGCGCCTAGCAGGGGTGGACATTCAGAATTTGGTTGGATCAATGATTCATCAGTGCCCATTAAAAAATGAAAAGGCTCTTTATATCTTGATGTGGAATAAACTTTGAGATATGATTAAGAGGAGAAAAGCAAGGTCCAAGTAGTGTGTATTAGATTGCTATCATTTTATGTGGTTTGTTTTTTTTTAAGGGATGACAGGGGATGGTACCCATAGATCTTTGCTTCTCTAAGATGAGACCCTCAGGAGACTGGTGACCCTGTTCCTCCCAGGAAGGCCATCTGGGGGCTGGGGACAGGGCCAGCACATCATTGGACTTTGATTTTTGAACCACACAAATGAGTTGCTTTTTCGATACAAATGGAACAATAGGAAGTGCTTTCAAGGAGCTGGGTAGTAAAGAGCTCCTTGGAAGTACAACCAGGCCTTTCTTCCCAAGGTTGGGCCAGGCATGCTCTGCTGGTAGTTCCCTGAGCCAGGGTGTTCGCGCGGGATGTGTGTTCGCAGAGAGCCAGGACATGTTCGCGCAGGATGGGTGTTTGCAGAGAGCCAGGACATGGACGCAGACAGGCTCCTACTAGTGGTGGGGACTTGGCTGATCTCAGATCTCAGACCTCAGTTTCCTCGTCTGTAAAATGGAGGTAATTCTAGTCTTACAGAGTGGGCATGAAAAGTAAAGGAGAGAATACAGAAAGTGCTTGGTAAATGGGACCTTTGGTGACACGGCAGGAGATGAGGCGACTTCTGGGGGGCAGTGCCGCAGGAGAGCAGAGAAGGCCAGGGGCCATAGGCCTCTGTCCAGCACCCTGTGTCTGTAGCCTGAAATGCCCACTGGGTTATGGGAGAGCAAACCCAGCAGCCATGGGCAGGCTTCTGCTTTGGCCCAAGGACCTGGACCACTGAGCAGTGGATGGACTCTCTCCTCCGTCTCCAACTTTCTCTCTCTCTCTCTCTCTTCCTCTCTCCTTTGCCATTGTGGCCTCTCTGCAGAGGCCTGGGGACTCTGGGGGCTTTCTGGAGCTGAGGGGGCTTCCTCCACTTAGCTTCACCCTCTGGGAGGAAGTTACATTCATGTTAGAATTGCCGAGGCCCACAGCTGTTCAGGAAGTGAGCCTGGTGGCTGTGACATCCATGGACCCTGCCCTCTGAGCCATGAGCTAGCAGCCAGAATCCTAGTTCCTGGTTTGGGCTCTGATACTGGCTCCCTGTGCCACTGTGGGTGACTCCTGTCCGCCTCTGAGCCTCAGTTTCCTTGTCTTGGAGAGAAGGTGGCGCTTACACCTGCCCTTCTTTCCCAGGAAGGCAAGGGAAGAATGGAATTGGGGTTCGTAGCGTGAAGAACTCGAAAGCATGGGGGCTTGGGGTGGGGGGATCGTGGTACCCATGGCACTTTGTGCACTTACACCACATACGTGGTGAGGGCCACATGGGAAGACCCCTACACATGTGTATGCATATGCACACACACAGAGCCACGTCGGTAGCTAAGCCCTGAACTGGGAATCTGAAGATGGGGTTGCCATCCCCACCAGCCCCCCCCCAACTCACACACACGTGTGTAGAAATGTGTGTGCCCACATGTGCTGTTCCATGTCCCATGGCGGACATGCGTACCCCGTGCTGACGTGAGTCATCCACAGAGAACACCCAGGAGCACCTCCTGCCCTCAGTCCAGATGGGCTTCCCCATGGGCCGGGCAGCTATGGCCGAAGTTCCTCCCTTCAGCACGGGGCTGGCTGGGACGGAGGCCACCACAGCTCACAAAGGAGCCCAGAACCTGCTGGGAGCCACTGGGGCCAGCAGGTCGGTGCTGGGGCTGTCAGGCCTGGTGCAACCCCGGTGACACCCACCCTCTTCTGTCTTCACAGGCTGGACAACGTTCATGGCTCTCGGGTAGAACCCAGTGAAACGGCCAGAATGAATTCTATGGACAGGCACATCCAACAGACCAATGACCGACTACAGTGCATCAAGCAGGTGGGTGTGTGGCCCGCGCTTACACCTCCTCCCCTGCCCAGCCTGGCCCAGCTGGCGAGGGCAGGGCCGGCAAGGCAGGCCGAGCGGCAGGGATGCTGGCCCGGCTATGGAGCTGGGCCTCTTGGGTGCTGGGTGGTGGTGGCAGGCCAGGGCTGACTGCCCGGGTCTCTCTGACCACCCCGTGAGAATGTGGCTGCATAGACAGGCCTAACACTGACATCACACACCAGGGCCCGTATGCCAGCCCTGCCCTGTCCCTCCTCATCTCCTCCCCTCCCCTCCCCTCCCCTCCCCTCCTCTTCCCAGCTGTGTGATGTGGGGCCAGCCTCATGCCCTCTCTGGGCTCTGCTGTGTCAGCTGGGCTGCTGTGAAGATGGAATAAAGTGCTTAGTCCCCTTCCCAGACCTAAGCTTCCCAGACCTAAGCTCCCAGACCCGGCCCTCTGCTTCCGTGGTTCTCTATAAAGAAACAGAAAAGGAAGAGTTCTGGGAAATGAGATCATCTTACAGAAAAGGAAACTGAGGCATGGATTAGAGAAGGGAGTCAGCTGAAGTCACACAGCCCAGCTTCACTTGTGCTGGGGGGGGCGGGGGGCGCACCTCATTCCTGAGGACAGCAAGCTCCCCCTCCTGCCCAGGCTCACGTCACGTTCAAGAGGCCATCTGCTTGCCAGCATTCTCTCGGGATTGTTCAGAGGTGGGGCATGTTCCAGGTGGGCTCAGAGCACCCCCCGCCCGCCCCACTTTAAGAAGCCTGGTTGAGCCAGGGCTGGCAGGCGCCCCCCAGTGTTGACCAGGAGTGGTGCGCCGCCCTCTGGGCGCAGCCTCCTTGCAGCCCTGCATGGCAGGGTCTATGCAGACTCCTGAGTGTTATGGTACTCCAGAAGGGAGCGATATGGTAGAAGGGGCATGGGCTTTGATGTCAAAGAGACGGGCCCAAATCCTCATGCCTCCACGTGCCCACGTGGTCTCAGGCTTTGTTTATCTGAGCCTCAGTTTCCCCACCCATCACAAGGGTCCAGGCTGTCACAGGGTGGCCGGGGCTGTTGTCCTCAGTGCCTCAGCAGCGGGGAGGCAAGCGCTGGGGTGAGGCCTCTGGGTCACCAGCATGGGCCGCTGGCCTCAGGACCCCTGGGGGGCAGAGCTCCCAGCCCTCCCCACCCCCCGGCAGCCTGCCCTCCCTGAGTGCCAGGGCCCAGTGGAGCTGAGGCCGGTCCTCAGGAACGAGGGCATGTGTCCTCTCATAAATATCAAGCAGAGCTCTCTCGGAAGCCTGGGCAGGGTCTGAGGAGAGGAAATTGAAGAAGACTTGTTACAGATTGAACCCAGCCCCAACAGCTCCCCCAAAACGCCAATTATGCCTCTGCTCACCGTCACAGAATAGAAGCCAGACAGTGCCCTCCCTCCAGCCCTGCACTCGCCTCCTCCCTGGTGCTCTGCAGGCCCTCTCCCAGCTCAACCTGTGGCCCACCTTCTCCCAGCCCTGAGGGATCTGCTGTCAGTGGCCCCCACCCCCAACAGCACAGTCTCACCGCCCGGCAGGAGCCCCTCCTAGGGACAGGCATGCAGCTCCTCCTGAGACCTGCTCACGACCTGACCTTTCTCCCATGGCTGGCTCTGTATCCCCAGAAATCAGGGTGCCCTTTACCGCCTCAGAGCATGGCCCCCAGGGCTCAGATTGACCAGTCAGCCCGTCCAAGCCCCCATTCCACCACTTGCTAGCTACCTGACCCTGATTAAGCCGCCACTTCACCCCACTTGGTCTGTAGAATAGCATCATAAGGGACACCCAGCCGGTGTGTGCCAGGGCAGCTGGAAGGCCAGGGATCTCCTCAGCTGCCCAACCCCCCAGCCTGCTGTCCCATGCATGTGCATGCGCGCGCACGCACACACACACACACACACACATATATATATATATACATATATATACCTACATGCCCAGAGCTCTGCGCTAGGGCCAGACCCTGATGCATTTGTGAGAGTGAGCAGGCTGTCCAGATGCCCCCCTGGACCATCCAGAGCTCCTGACACCCCCCACATCCCCCTCCACACCTCCGGTCAGACACAGCTCAGCACTTGACGTCTGTCTGCTCCACGGCTGCCCCAGAGGGCGGCGCGTCTGGCTGAAGACTGCTGATTCTCAGACGTCCTCTTTCCTAATCAGAAGAGAAAGGGAAGCAGGTCTGCGTGCTCTGAGGATGACAGATGCATTGGCTGGGCCTCATCGGGGCTTTGCAACCTTGGACTCCCAGCCCTGCCTCACTTCTAAGCACAGCTTCCCCCCGACACACACCCACCCTACCCTGGTTCTAGCCATTGCTCACAGTGGCCATCCCCCAAGCACCCTGCTGCCTCTCTTCCCTCCAGGCCTTAGGCTCAGCCACCTTTCCCCCATCTCAGCCCCAAGTACTGGGAGAACCAGTGCCCTCTCTACAATGGGCCCCACTCAGAGGTCACAGACACATCTGGGCTGCACGTTCAAAGCCACACAAATTGGGGGGTGCAGGTGCTCAGAAGAGCCCGTGGGGCTGGGAGAGGCTGCTGTGCAGGAATTAGCCATCTCTGAGCCCCACTGCTTCCTGGGCACCCAGCTGCCTCACCCACCCTGCTCTTTCTCCCTTGAGCCATCGGCCCTGTGGGGCACATATCAGACCTCCCCCCAGGCTGAGTTCCCTGGGGGCAGAGGATGTGCTATATTCATCTTAAAGTCAGCAGAGCCTAGCGCAGCCCCAGGCCAGGGCCCACATAAGTAGAGGGGGAGCAGGGGAGGGGTGAACTGAACGATGGCTAGCAAAGGGAATGAGCGGAAGGGTGGAGGGATGGACATAGGAATGCGCAGTTAGGCAGGTAGATACAGATGATGGATGGATACATAGGTGGATACATGGATGGACAGGAGGTTGGATAACTTTTCGATGGGTAGACAGATAGATAGGTAGATGAATGGATGGATGGGAAATGAATAAAGTAGTGAACGGTTGAATGGGTAGATGGACAAGGGGATGGATGGATGGATGGATGGACTGATTCATTTGGATGGACAGGTTGTTTGGTTCACAGATGGACTAATAAGAAGATGCAGTCATCACTTGCTCTGGGTAGCCAATCCAATAGGTCTAGGCTTTGGTGTCCCCTAATCCTGCCCCAACAGACTCAGTGGCCAGTGGATATAACCCAGATCTTCCTAGGAATTGTGGAGACAGGCAGACTGTCTGGTGGGAGGTGAGGCATTAGTATCCGGTAACAGCCACACCCAGGGAGGCTTCTGCCTATGATTCAGATCTGTGCTCCCATCCCTAGACCATCCAAGCCTGGCCAAGCTCCCCCATCCAGCCCTGGCCACTCCACATGCCACGAGGGACCTGTTCTGAAGTGGCCAGGTTGCCGGCCTACACGGACCATCCTTTGGACAGTTAACGGCTCACCACCCGTTTCAGCGCGGGCCTGGCCGTGCGCCAGTCTTGAGAGTTCCAGAGGTGAACAGGGCACTATTTCTACTCTCCAGGAGCTCCTAGGAGAGAAGAAACTGTACAGAGGTCAGAGCAGTAGCAGTCTTCACCTGGCACCGACTCCCTCATGGGGACAGCATGATTTAAATTGTTCCTAAGCTGTGTGGCAGCCCTGCAGGCTGTCAGCACCCCATTTTACCAGTGAGGGGTCTGAAGCTCAGGAACACGCCCAGGACTGTGGGGCTCAGTGGCTGAGATGGGGTTTGATCCAGGTCACCCGTTTCTGTGCAGCCCAGGGACCTCATAGTCGAAACAGGAAACAACAGCACAGAGAGGGGTGGGGGCTTGGCCAAGGCCACAGAGCCGCCGAGCAGCAACCACTGAACGGGATGCCTATGTTCTTTCTACCAATGAGTCGTGCCCAGCGGTGACCACCCAGAGCCCAAGCTGAAGGCCACATGAGCTGGCTGGTGTAAGGGTGGAGAAGCGTGGAGGTGGGCTGAGCATGATATGGAAGGCTGCGTGCTCGGGGACCAGAACAAAACTGGGCCCCCGAGACGGGCCTCAGAGGCCACTTGTGAGCCCGGAGCCCCAAAGGGTTTGCCAACGGTGAGGGTGCTATGGGCAGGCAGCTCTGAGAGCAGCATGTGGTGGCTGCTGACCCTGCTAATTGGGTGTGACATCACGTAAATAAACGGAATAACTCAGTTAGCCGAGAGAGGCCGCCGGACAGGGAATTAGCAATTTGTATGGCTTTCCACATGCAGCCCGGACGGCCCCCCTCTGGCCTCGGAAGGGGCCCATGTTAGAGAGTGAGCACTGGAGGCAGAGGTGAGGACCCCCTGCTGCCCTCTCAAAGGGCCCTGTCCTCCATGTGGAGGCGCCTCCCGTCTCCTACACATCAAGAGCAGGGAGCTCTGCCTTTGCAGAAAGAGCCTATGTGAGCCAGGGCCGAAAGCTGCCGAGTGCAGCTGTGCTTCCAGGGGAGCCTCCAGGAGCCAGAGTCAGGGCCAAGGGCAGCCCCACGTGGAAGCACCCCACGTGCCAGGCGCCCTGCCAGGGGCCGCAGGAGCCTCATCTTGTCTCCCTGGCCCCGTGACGGAGGGCTGTACCGCTGCTCGCTTTCCCTCCTTCTCGCCTTCACTGCTCCCTCCCGTAGAGGCACCATGTTCTAATTCATTTCACTATCTTCCATCCATTTTTAAATCTTTCTTACACGACCCACGTTGTAAGAATAGTCATGAAACCCTACACAAAAGAAATAAAAATTCCCTCCACCAAGCCATGATCAGTCATCCCCCTTTTACAGATGGGACAACTGAGGTTTGGGAAGGTGAGGGACTGCCCTGGGTTAGCAGCTAGCAGGATGCGAAGGCAGAGGGAGCCCCTGGGGTCCTGCCCCACAGGGGCTCAGTGCCACTGTACATTCCATTCCTTCCTAATTCTGGGACCTGGCGGCTACTAAGACCCCTCCCCGCCTTGGCTCCAAGGCAGATTTGCGCTGCAGTTTGGAATAGAGCGCCCCCCCGCCCAGGGGAAGCTACTACTCCTTTCTCTCCCAGCACCAAAGCAACAGGGGCCTTAGAAGGTCCCACCATCCCCTTTGCAGCTGGCTTACGACCCTTGCAGACACACCCTACGTGTCCCGCTGGAGGACCCACAGTCGTGACACCCATTGCTGAAATTCCTGCTCTGCCCCTAAGCAGCTCTGTGACCCTCGGCAAGTCACTCATCCCTTGGGCTAAGGTCTAACTCAGCGGGACCTGGGAAGACCTGGGCAGGTGTTAGAGAATGAAGCCACCCCCGCCCACCCTGGCAGCCCTGTGGCCTGGGTCTGAAGCAGGATCTAGAAGCCTTGGCCCCAGGATTCAGTGTCTTGCCAACTCAGATCCCCTGACTGGAAGGGGCTTGAGCTCAGGCGTGGACCCCTCCCGACAATGCCAACAGCCCCCAAGCTTAGCCAGACTGGGCCTGCGAAATCTGGTTTTGGGGAGCTAAGCCACATATGCCAGACCCTGGCATGAGAATATCCTGGGCACAGCGTGCTTATAGTTCAACTCCCAAGCTGGGTTTGGCCCGGAGACCTCTTTCTAACCCACCTGACCCCTGTCCTATTTGGCCATGGTTGAGTTTTCTCTGAAGCCAGAGCTGGTGGGCTTCCAGACCTGTGCTGTGTTGGTGGTGGTGATTAGTGGGAGCGGCCTTCATCAAGAAGGAATCTCCAGGGCTAGCCTGCCCTGGCTTGGGGAGAGCCAGCCCCCAAGGATGGGGGCCACAGGCCACCCTCCTGAACTCTGCAGAGTTTACCTGCCCCCACAGCCAGCATCCAGAAAACACTTTAATATTACTGTCTTTCTCTAGACCTTGGTTCTCCTATCTTTGCAATGGGACTACTAATCCCCATCCTGCAAGGATTGGGTGGGAGGGATGCACACGGAAAAATGAATGACAGGTTGTTTGAGAAGTCTCCTTAATCCTGCCCCCCCTTTCTTCAAGTTTCATCCCCAGTGAGGCCTGGGTTCTTCACCACCTCAGACCCACATGCTACCCTGCTGGCCTTGTTGCTGGAGCTTCACACTGCCTCCTTCCCTCTCCCACAGCACTTACAGAACCCTGCCAACTTCCACAATGCCGCCACGGAGCTGCTGGACTGGTGTGGAGACCCTCGAGCCTTCCAGCGGCCCTTCGAGCAGAGCCTGATGGGCTGTTTGACGGTGAGTCTTCATCCCCGCCCCCCCCCCCCCCCCGCCACACCTGCACTCGAGCCCGGGGAGGATGTCCCAGGGGCTCGTGTGCCTGTCCAGGGGTCAGAGAGGCCCCAGACAACAGAGGATGAGAGATAGAAAGACACCAATGCTGGAGGGGACAGCCCTTCTGCTTGTGCCCCGCCCCCAACATACACCTTTGGGGAAACCGGTCTGATGGGAAGACAGCCCTCAGGATGAGGTGGGCTCCCCACACTCGATGGGAAAGCACGGGGCCTGCCTGGGGGGGAGTTCCAAGTCTGATGAGGGTAAATGTTCCACCCTAAGCAAAACAGAGTCGTGGAGGGTTTTTAGCCATCCTTTTATCCAGTCATTCACTCATCCAGTTGGGCAAACATCTATTGAGCTTTTTATAGTCATCCATCCTTCTGTCCATTCATAGAAGCATCTATTGAGCTCCTCTTATAGCCATCCATCTATCTAAATAAACACTGATTGATCCCTCATTTATCACATCTGATCCCCTCTGCTCAGTCCTAGGAAACCACAGAATAAGACTTGGCCAAGCCCGAGTCCCTCTTTAGTGGGGGAGCCCTGATGTGGAGAGAGTGGGCCGAGAGAGCTATGTGCAAGGGAAAAGCAGCAGTGAGCAGGGACACGCTGATGGCCCGGGAGGTGGGGAGGCTGGCGGGAAAACCCGAGGGAAGGAGCCGCAGACATCTCCACAGGGGTTCCCCTCAGCAGCCGGGCAGAGTGAGCACGTTCTAGGCACTTGGAACAGCATGTGCAAAGGCCCAGATGGACAACAGAGCCCAGAGAGCCGAAGTTCACTCAGCTCCGTGAGGGCCTAGGACGCGGGCTGGGTAAAGGCCAGGCCCGGAGCTTGTGACATCATTTGCCAAGCCTCGGAGCTTCCCAGCCGACCGCCGCTCAGAAGGAGCTCACGGCTTGTGAATGACCCCAGCCACGTGAGCCTGAGGGAGGCTTGGTGGCCAGCGAGGACAGCTGCTCAGAAGGCCCTGAGTCAGCTTTGAAGAGGACATGGGTAAACAGATTGCTGCAGAGCCCAGCTACCCCAAGGCTGGGGAGGAGGGGCCCAGGTGGATGCCTGGCTGGGAAGGAACAATAGGTAAAGCCCGGGGGTGCCATGTTCTCTGAGAAGCTCCAGATAGGAGGGAGGCGAAAGGCCCAGCGTGGCCCTGGCCTGGAGCGCGAGGAGGATTGACGTGACTGTGGGCCATCCTTACAAAGCACCCCTTCTGTGCCTGCCACTGAGCTGGGCCAGCACACGCCTTCTCACTGAGTCCTCACACTCCATGAGGCTGGCCCTGCCATCATCCCCATTTTACAGAGGAGAAAACTGAGGCTTGCTGGGAGAGCTTTCCAAGGTCACACAGCCAAGACCCCACTGCCTCTAGAGGAAATGCTCCTGGCCCGTAGGGATGTAGGCCAGGGGTACAGGCTTCCCCATTTGTTTGAGGCCAATGCCGTCTGGCTCCCTTGGAACCACCAGGCCAAATTGGGCGGCTGCCTACACTGCCCCACCCTCCCCATCCTCCAGGCCCCGGGCCCCCCTCCCTCTACCAGCTCCCGTAATCCTCTTTGCAGGGGTCCTGGTTCAGGCTAAGCCCCCTGGGCAAGGACAGATGTTACCAGAGGCCCCCCCGGCTTCCATCCCAGCTGCCGGCAGCCATAAGTCAAGTAGGAGGTGGGGACCACCACGAGGTATGGCCGGACTGGCCGCCACAGGCCCCCAGTGCCCTGACTGAGCCTGGCCCTGCCTGGGAGGTAGGGATTCAGAGCTGAACCGGACGATGGCCCTCGGCAGTCTGGGTGGGCATGATGGGGGCACGAGCTGACCAGTGACTGGCCCTGCTCCAGCCCTGTCACTCATTTATTCAGTTGACAAACCTTCACTGAGGCCCTGTGCTCACCGGAGGCAGAGCAACAAGCACAGTAGACCTCAGTGTACGTTCCAATGGGGGATGGGGGAGGGTGACCCTAAACACTAAAGGAGTAAATAAGGACATACGCCAGCGCCCCGTGAGAGAGGGTGGGGTGCTGCTCAGGAGAAGCCTCCTGAGGGGGTAACCCCTAGCTGAGACCAGAATGGCAAGAAGAAGTCAGCCAGGAGAGGGGAGGGTGCTCCAGGCAGAGTGAACTGCTAGTGCAAAGACCCTGAGGCTTGATTTGTTCAAGGAACAGAAAGACGCCTCAGGGGGCACCTGGGTGGCTCTGTCAGTGAAGCATCCTTGGCTCGGGTCCTGATCTCATGGCTCATAAGATTGAGCCCCTACGTCGGGTTCTGGGCTCAGAGGGAGTCTGCTCGGATATTCTCTCTCTCTGCCCCTTCCCCCGCTCCTGCACGCTCTCTCGCGCTCTCTCTCTCTCAAATAAACAAATCTTGAAAGAAAGAGAGAGAGAGAGAGAAAGAAGAAGGAAAGAAAAAAAGAGGAAGGGAGGAAAGGAGGGAGGAAGGAAGGAAAGAAAAGTCTCAAAAGGCTGGAGCACAGGAGAGGGCAAGGATACAAGATGAGCTTAAAGAAGGAAGCAGAGACAAGGCAACGCAGGACCTGCAGGCTGAGGGGAGAGGAACTTAGATATTATCTGAAGGGTGATGGGGGGCCTTGAAGGATCTTAAGCAGGTGAGTGATAGGATATGATTTATGTGAGGACAGGAGCTCTGAAGGGGAGCATCCTAGTAGGATAGGCTAGAGGGATTTTGGAGATCTTCCTGGAGGAGGGAGCCCAGGGAGGAGCGTGTAGGATCTGACTAGACAGCAGGGAGGCCATGGCTTCTGGGGCGGGGACAACAGTGTGGACAAAGGTGTGGGCAAAGCCTCAGTGCCGGCTCTTCTGGGCCTCGCCTCTCCTCATCGCAAGCCAGCTTAAGGCACACACTTGCTTGAACGGTGGGCTTTGACCCCTGCCTCTCTGGCCTGCTGCTTAGCCAGAAAGGGGCCTTTGGTTCACCTGCCACAGTGGCAGAGATGTTGAGTTTGACCGTCCCTTGGAGCTCAGCAGAACCAGCAGCAGGGAAGTGCCGGGAATGGGGAGGTCATAGCAGACCCCCTTGGTACCCGAGGCACTTCCCTGTGCCCTATCTCCTTGCATCCTTATGAAGACCCTGCAGGCCAGGCAGGGAAGGGATCGTCACTTCTGCTTTACGAACAAGACAACTGAGAAAGGGGGAGCAGCTTGCTACAGTCCCAGGCTGGTACTCCTGAGCCCCCAAGGCCCTGCAGCTGGTCCTCCTGTACCCCTGCACATCCTCAGCCCCAGCCATGTCCCGTGGGAAGGGAGGGGATGCGGGAGGCCCCAGGGGCCTAAGCAGGGCAAAGCTGCTGAGCTCCCCGCCAACACTCCCCATGCAGGTGGCAGGTCGAAGCGCTCCCAGTTACAGCAGTCCGCTGGGCAACCCCTGGGAACGAACTCCTCTGGACCCGGCTTACTTGGAGGATAGAAATTAAAAGCCATTTAGCCTCGAGCAGGCCCATTTTCATCGTACTGCGGCTGGGCCCTGGGGTAAAGAACGGCTGGCAGTGCCCCTGCCCCACACTCCCCTTCAGGCCTTCTGACCCCCACGATGCAGAAGTGTGGGAGCCCTGGAGCCCCTCCCAAGGGGTGAGGGTGTGAGCCCTGGTCACCACTTGCTCCTCAGACCAGGTTTGTCCTGACTGTGCTGGCGGCTCACTTCCGGGCCCCTCCCCTAGCAGCAAGGCTGAGCCCCCTGTCTGAGGGTCCCCCTCAAAATCAGGCCTCTCTGGACTCACTCCTTTCTCCCCTAAGGTGGAGTATGCTTGATATGCTCAAGTCACAGAAAGGAGGAGGCCAGAGAACAGGAGAGGGGAGACAGGAAGGAGAGGAGGTGGCAGAGGGAAACAGAGGCCAGCTAGCCTAACAGCAGGCCCCCCCCCCCCCCCCATCTCTCCAGGGAGAACTTCCCCACAGCAACAGAGAATTCGCTGCTGAAGCTGCCAGGGTATGTTCACAAATAGTGTTCACCGAGCTGTGTGCCTGGTCCTGGCTGTCATCCTCAGAAGGAAAGGCCATGTCACAGGTGGGGAAACTGAGGCTCAGAGAGGTTAAGTAACTTGCCTTAGGTTGCACAGTCCGGGGGGGAAGAATTGGAGTGCAGGTCGGCATGCCTCCGGTTCCCCTGACTCCCTCGGAGGATGTCAGAGTCCAGCCCCATGCCAGGAACCAAAATCCCTTCTCTAGCATCCCCCAAACAGCTTGTCCTGCTTCGTAGCCAGGAGGCTCACCGCTTTTCAAGGCAAGACACCCCCTTGATGGGGCTAACTGGCCGCCTGACCTTGAGCACACGGCCTCTGTCATCTCTGGGCTTCGGTTTCCCTCTCTGGCACGAGGGGCTGGACTCCCTGACCTGTAGGTCTGTCCCCCTGGGCCCTGGGACCAGGGGGCGGGGGAGGGGGGGGCAGCTAGGTCTCTGAGTGCCAGGAGCTGGCTGGGCCTGGGCAGCCAGCAGAGGGCAGCAGCGGGGCTGCCACTCCCCACCGGCCTTTGTAGAGGAGGGGTCTTCCAGGCCCACCCGCACACAGGACCCTCACTGGGGGTGCCGTGCCCACTGAGGGGGGAGCAGGCCTCTGAAACACAACCAGCTACTCAGCTAAGTCCACCCTCCCCACCACTGTCGGGCAGACCCACCTCACAGGACTTTCCAGGGGTTCCTCAGGCTAGGCCAGAGGAGGCCAAGGGGTGTACCTAAGGCCTCGAGGGCCTCAGGGTCCGGCTTAGCCACACTGCGCCATGCTGACCTTCAGCAAGGCCCTGCCCTCTCTGGGCTTGGTGAAAGCTGGCTGTTGCCAATGTCCCTTCTGAACACTAGGGCTCAGGGGATTTGGTGACAAGCAGACATTCCCAGGCCTGCAGGACAGGTCTTATACCAGCACCAGGCCCCTGTTGCTCAATTTAGCTGGGTTTTTCGTTGTGTGTGTGTTTTTAAACCAGAGCAACAGGATTAGCCAGTATTGGCCAAACAGAGGGACCTTTGCCTTCCTGCCCTCAACACAGGGCCTGAGGCTTCTCCAGGCAGTTGGGAATAAGGCCTTAACCCTTTGTGGGCTGAAAAAGAGATCCTCTCATGGAAAGAGCCCATATGTTGCAGCCTGACTGCCTGGGATCGCATCCAGGCTCTATCATGGACAAGACTCATAACCTTTGTCTTATACCCGTACTCAGTTTCCTCCTCTGTAAAACAGATAATAATACCACCTCGTGGAGCTGTTGTGAGAATCCGGCACTTCACTGCTTACAAAGCTTTCACTTAGCCCTCCTACCGGGGAGCCAGCATTCTCATTATGCTGTTTGCCTCTGTCAACATTTCCCACCAACAGCAGCCTCACTGATGCACTAGTCCAAACAAACTGTCTATGCTCACTTACATCCACCCCAAGGTTCTGCCAAAGAAAAGGCTACGATAGTCAACATCTAAGCTGAAGTGATTTTTCTGGGCTTACTGTGTTGAGTCCCAGCTCTGCCTGATCTTGGGGACCTGCCTTAGCCTGCCCGCCTCACCTGCCTCACCTGCTAAATGGACAGTGCTGGTCTCCAGACCTGAAATGTTCAACAGGCCACAGAGAGCTAGTGGCCTTGGTTTTTCTGCTTGGACAGTGAGATAAACAGTGAGAATGCCCTGCCCTCCAGGGAGTTCCTAGGAGTTCCCAGGAGGTGGGGGGTGGGGGGATGGGAGGAACGGCGCCCCATTCCAAAAGGTGGTGGTGGTCCTGGGAAGAGGGCGTCCACTGGCTCCTTCCTGGTTCATCAGACTCACTCTGGCCAGGCTTTAAGTGTTCATACTTTTTAAATGACAGGGTTGGCCTAGATTAGCGCTTTCCCCCACCCTTTTTAGCCTTAGAGCCCTTGTAACGAACCCTTAAATACAAAGCAGATAACGGGGAACCTACTCTGATGGTTGCAGGGGCCAGGCCAAACCCCATGGCAGCCTGAGGCTCTCTGAGGACCTCCGAGCGCCTCTGGAACAGGTGGTGTCTAGGGGCCTGCTGACGTAGTCTTCCCTCTCTCAAAAGAGCGAGCTGCCACATCTGGGAGCACGCCTTTCCCACTCAGCTGTAGCCGCTCCCGCTGCTTCCTGCACCAACTCCATTTCCCAAGGTCCTTCCTTTTTCATAAGGAAACCTAATTTTGCTGCTGTCCCTGAGGGAGGCGGGTGGCAGGACACCTGGGAGTGGGCGGGGAAGGAGTGGAGCCTGATGGGTGTGAGCCTGTGGAGCCGTTTGGGGGGCCCCCAAGAGCACCCTGCCCCACACTGCCCCAGGGACTGACAGCCCTCCCAGTCCCTCCCCCCGCCCCCCGCTTCTGGCCCACACTTCAGAGGTTCTCAAGGAGAAGGGAGGGACCTCGGGGCTCCAAACACACAGCTGCTAGCAAGCTTCTGTCGACACTCTGATGGAAGCCTCCCATGTGCTGAGCAGGTGCTCAGCACTGGAGACAGACCCCAGGCTGAGCATGAGGGCCCTGTGGTCTCTGGGCCCAGGTCTGAGAGACTGCAGGGGGCCTGGCACAGAGCTGAGCACTGAGGAGCATAGGCATGTCCATCTGGAAAAGCCTTAGCAGTCTGTCTGGCAGCTCCAAGCTGCAGCTCCGTGGAGTGGTGTGTCCTAAATCCGTGCTTCTCCTTAGGCACAGGTTTTGACTCAGGAGGGGCCAGTGCCGCTGGGTGGGGACCATGCCTGGAATGGTGAGGGCAGCAAGCACCCACAAAGGTGGGTGCAGGAGCTCGGGGTGGGGATGGGGAGAGGTGCTAGGTGTGGGAGACTTCCTGGGACCGGGACCTAGAAGGGAGTTTGGGGAGCTGCCTGGCGGGGGGCGGGGGAACAGAGGCCTGGCCTGTAGCCCTCCAAGACATGGTGGTACAGCACCTTCTGGAATGTGGCCAGATCGAGTCCTTGAAAGCCGCAGGGCCTGGGTTCAGGGTTAGGCCCACCGGCAGACTAGAAACCCCTGAGGGCAAGGGCCAGGCTCCCAGGGCCTGGCATGGAGGAGGGGCTTGTCAGTGTTTACGGAGTGACTGAGCGAGGCACAGTTTGAGTCCCAGCTCTGCCTGATCTTGGGGACCTGCCTTAGCCTGCCCGCCTCACCTGCCTCGCCTGCTGGATGGACACATCCGTCACTCAGGGCTCGGAGGCCTGGTGCTGGCCGTGACTCACCCTGCCCTTCCTCTCTCTCTTGCTGGCAGGTGGTCAGTCGGGTGGCAGCTCAGCAAGGGTTTGACCTGGACCTCGGTTACAGACTGCTGGCGGTGTGTGCTGCAAACCGAGACAAGTTCACTCCCAAGTCTGCGGGTAGGTGACGGCTGGGGGTTCCAAAGGTGTCACGGGGAGGTGGGAGTGTAACCAGATTCGAACCCAGGGCTGCACACCACCCCTGCCAGCTGGTGCCTTGGTTCCTCCAGGTGTGGCGTGAGCCTGCAAGGAGCAGCGGCTTGTCCACGGGGCTGTGCAGCCCGTGGCTGAGGCTTGTCCCTCCTCTCAGGCAGTGTTCTGTCCTGTGGGGGTGCCTCGGGGCCAGTGAGGGGACCAAGCACGCCATCCCCCGACAGGCTAAAGGGAGACATGCATCATCTCATTTCATCACCGTAATGACCCCTTGGCGTTAGCCCTGCGATCATCCACATTTGACAGATGAGGGAACTGAGGCTCAGGGAAGCTGAAGAGGTTTCTGGGCCACACAGCTGGAAAGTGGCAGAGTTGGGGTTTGAGCCCAGGCCTATACGCCAGAGTGGGCATTCCTAACCCTGTGTTCATGCAAAACAGCTGCATTTAAAATAAAACACAAAATAAACGCGAATTGGTACGTGCAGTGTTCTAAAAGCATCGTATTCTCTGCATAATATTCTCTGTCGCCACTTTGTCATTGCATGGGACCTCCTGCCCCTGGGTTAAACCGAGGCCACAGGTGATGCTGGCAGCATTCTGTGCATGAGGGCTTTAAGCACCCCAAAGATGCAGTTTTACATTTCCCATCATCCCCATTACCCTGCATAAGCTGGGGGCACCGTGTAAGCTCTCACTCCAACAGACCTGGGACAGCCCGGCCCTATCACTTGCTGAGCGTGTGACCTCTGAGCCTCAGTTTATCCCCTTGGGAAGGCAGGAATAACAATGAGACTTACCCTGCAGGGGTCATTGTCAGTTCTAGATATATGTGCAGTGCCAAGAGCAGTGTCTAGAGATTGTTAACCTTTTTTTATGTTCAAGTAATTCATTGAAAAAGAAAAGAAAATCAGTTATTTCCTTTGTATAACAATAAAACAGACGTTTTCTCTGAATTCGTCAATCAGTTCTTTGGAGTAGATCTAGAAACAGCCTTCATGAAGATGTTTAAGAGACATCTCACGGTGTATTTTCATAAACTTGCTCAACCTACAATCTCTCGAGTGCAGGTTCGTGCTCCTCCTTGTGCGTGTTTGCAGACCACGCACGCAGACTGTGGGTCATTTGCAGAAGGTGTGGGCAGCAGCGGCTGGCTCTGAGCCCCTTGCCGTGCCAGCCCGCGTTGGGATGGCGCTCTCGTATTGAGCTGCTGGCCAGAAAATGGTCTGGGAATCTCATAAGTGGTGTCTATTCCTAATGGAATCTGCAGTTTTAATAATAACTTAAGTCGATACAATTTTGACAAGGTAAAAACTGCTACTTATCCAAGAAACATCTCCATATCTCTGTTGAGCGCCTGGTCCATGCGGGTACCTGGCCAGGTCTGGGTTCTGATGAGGGATGCGACTGACGTGGTCCCACCTCGGGAAACTTAGAGTCTAGAGTAAGGGGTCAGCAAACGTCTATGAAGAGCCAGATGGTAAATAGTTTAGGCTTTGCAGGCTATCCAAAAGCAACATAGACAATACGTAAACAAATGAGTATGGCTCATTCCAATAAAACCTCACTTATGAAATCAGGTGATTGGCTCTGTTTTCCCCAAACCCGGTCTAGAAGAAAAGAAAAATATCAAATAATCATAGGTGTATGTGGGTATGCATGTGTGCGTGGGCGTGCATAAATTCAAGCTGTGGTAAGTTGCATGAAGGTAAAGTCAGGGATGCTATGAGACCACCTGGGGTAGGGGAAGGCTTCCCTGAGGCCCAGAGATTGAGAAGGGTTGCATAGGTAAAGAAAAAAAGGAAGAGCTTCTTCCCAGGTAAAGAGAGCAGCCTGAACGAAGGTCCTGAGGTAGAAGGAAGCGTGGCTTTGTGGCAGAACCAAACCAAGGGCCGTGGTTCCAGAGCCCGGAGGCAGGAGTCAACAGCAGTTAGAAAGACACACGGGGCCTGTCTTGAGGGTTGTGGTTTTTGTACTGAGAATGATAAGAACATGGCTAAATTCTCCTTTGGCACAGATAGCTCCGGCTCCAGAGGAAGAACAGATTGCACAGTGGGGAGGGGGCAGTGTAGATGCAGGGAGCGGGTTGGCAAATTGCTGGGGACATCAGGATGATGGTGGCTGGACCAGGAAGGTTCCGCTTCCTGTGGAATAGAGTGGAGAGAAAGGGCTGACTCCAAACGCTGTGTAAGAGGCAACACCAAGACAGGGAAAGTGTGGCCAGGGGCGGGTGGAGGAAAACAGGAGAGTGGGTTGTCCCAGAAGACCCAGCCACTCCCTTTTTGTGGAGGAAAGGCTGAGGTCCCTGTGTAGCCCTCCCTTGGGGATCTCTCAGGCCCCTGCTGGTATGTGCTAGGTGCTCTCATACTTCGCTGCAGTGCTCAGCTCTATGAGACGAAGGGTATCGTATCCCTTTATGGGTGAGGACATTGAAGCTCAGAGAGATTTGTGACTTACCTGTGGTCACACAGCTCATAAATGGGACTTCAACCCATGGCCTCCTGGCTCCAGGCCCAGTCTCTGGCCACTCCATCACAGTTGACTCTGGACCTCGACTTTGGAGGCCACTCCACCTGGGAGAGCCCTTTACTTCACTCAGGTCACTCTAGGGTGGCCCTGCCCTCGGCTAAGTGGTAGGTACTTCCAGCATCACTCCTCCTGAAACAAGGGCTTTGTTCTTCCCTCTGTTTGCACTCCCAGTTGTGCACAGCTCTTTACAGTTTATCGAGCCCTTTTCCAGGCATTGTAGCTGTCAGTTAAGTCACATGATAGACCCTGAGGTGAGGCCTCAGCATACCCGTTCTGCAGCTGAGAATACTGAGGCCCGAGGCCCAGCAATGCCTGTGGCTTTGCTATTGCTTTAACTCCCTTCTTCGGAGTCAAACCCCTGTCGGCACCAACAGCCATGACTAACCACCTCTCAGGTCACCCCCACTTCCTGGAGAAGTCGGGGCCTCAGGACTCAGGTTCCCAGCCGGGCCCCTGCTGGGCCCCTCCTCTGGGAACGCAGGCCGCCAGCCTGAGGGCCAAGGCTTCCGCTGCTCCTTTCATTGTCAGCATAAAGGGTCTGCCAGGCTGGACCATGAGAGGGGTGGAGGCCGCAGGGAGCTGAGCAGAGACCCCGGGTTCCAGAGGCGGCTCCATTACGGGCTCCCGTCTCCGCCATGTTGCCCACCTCCCAGAGCCATGGCCTCATCTGTAAAGAGGGGTTATATGCCCCCCTCACAGGCTGCCTGTGAGGATTAATGAGATTCCCTAATCGTGGAAGTGAGGGAACCCCCCAATACCTGAGGCCCAGTGGTGCCAAGTAAATAGTACTGTCCAGCCCTCCTCCTCTGCTCTGCTCTGCCTTCTCCCTGCCCCCCACCCCCTCCACACACACACATGGTTCCTCTCTAAGGCTTTTTCTGCTCCAGCAAGGTTGTCTCCCAGTGCTCCATTTCCTGAGGCTCTGTGGGTGGTGCATGACCTGTGGTAACCCCACCGCTGGGTGCAGCTCTGAGTATCCCCGTGGCCTCAGGTGTGTGTGCGGTGGCCACGCTGGCCACAGCCAGGCCTGCCCCAGCCTCTTCGGGCCAGGCCGCTGCAGTTCTAGAACCTACTCTGTCCATAGAGCTCCTGCAGCCAGCCCATGCTACCTCTTGCCCTCCTTTCCGTCTCTGCCCGGGCTCCCATTGTGTCTGACTGGCTTGTGCAGTTTTCACCCTCCTAATCTCTCCCTCCCCTTTCTCTCTGAGGGTTCTGATGTCCTACGTCTGTCTCTGTCTGTCCTTCCCTTCGCTGCTGCCCCTCAGACTTTCTCCCTGTGTGATGTGCTTGTACGTCTGTGTGTGCCTCTCTGTCTGGGGGCGTACGTGTCTGTGTATATATGTGTCTGTGTGTGGTAGTGAGCATACCTGTGTGCTTGTGTGTCTGTAGAGGCTACATGTCTGTGTGTGTATGTGTCTGTGTGTGGTGGTGAACATGTGTGTCTGTGTGTGTCTGTGTGGTGGTGAGCGTGTGTGTGTGTGTGTGTCTGTTGGGGATACATATCAGTGTCTGGGGGGCATGTATCTGTGTGTGGTGGTAAGCGTGTGTCTGTGGTGAGTGTGCATGTGTGTGTGGGTCTATAGGGACACGTCTATGTGTGTGTGTGTCTGTTGGAGATATGTATCTGGGTCTGAGGGTACATGTCTGTGTGCGGTGGTGAGCGTGTCAGTGCATTTGTGTTTCTGTGTGTGTGGTGGTGATTGTGTGTGTCTGTGGGTTTGTGGGGACACGTGTCTCTGGGTATGTGTGTCAGGGGGGTTGGGTGCATGACTGTGTGTGTGTCTGTGTTTTGGTGAGCGCGCGTGTGTGTCTGTTGGAGATATGTATCTGGGTCTGGGGGGAGGTATGTGTCTGTGCGGTGGTGAGCGTGTCGGTGTGTTTGTGTCTCTGTGTGCGTGTGTGTCTGTGGGGACACATGTCTGTGTGTGTGTTGGAGGTATGTATCTGGGTCTGGGGGGTACGTGTCTGTGTGTGGTGGTGAGCGTGTCGGTGTGTTTGTGTGTGTGTGTGTGTGTGTGTCTGTGGGGACACATGTCTGTGTGTGTGTGTGTTGGAGGTATGTATCTGGGTCTGGGGAGTATGTGTCTGTATGTGGTGGTGAGCATGTCAGTGTGTTTGTGTCTCTGTGTGTGGTTGTGAGTGTGTGTGTGTCTGTGGGGACACATGTCTGTGTGTGTGTTGGAGGTATGTATCTGAGTCTGGGGAGTACGTGTCTGTGTGCGGTGGTGAGCGTGTCAGTGTGTTTGTGTTTCTGTATGTGTGGTTGTGAGTGTGTGTGTGTCTGTGGGGACCCATGTCTGTGTGTGTGTGGTGTGTCTGTTGGAGGTATATATCTGGGTCTGGGGGGAGGTATGTGTCTGTGTGTGGTGGTGAGCATGTCAGTGTGTTTGTGTCTCTGTGTGTGTCTGTGGGGACACATGTCTGTGTGTGTGTGTGTGTGT